TTTAGACTTTCGCTTAACTTATTTCATGTGTCGGATACAAAATCCACCGGCCGGGTTTACACATGCAAACTTATAAGCTTTCATAAAGGTGTATCATCAATCTCTAAACCGAGACATGGATTCCATCAACTAACTATTACTTCGCCAATGTACATTATTATTATTCAATTTACCAGGCATATTGACCCACGAAAGAATCTCGCCTTTTAATAAATCAAAACACAATAATATACACAACTAATAATAATTATATCAAGATTAAGAATATAAGTACATTTAATGGCTAGAAAGTTTATTTTATTAAGTCAGTATAAAATACTTATCTCTACTTGGTCCGTTCAATACATACAAAATGTACTGGCACAAGAAGTTGGAATTAAACCATTCTCATAATCAAGATAAATTATATTTAATCTTGTGCTACAATCATCCATGATGGTGTCCAATTCCATCATTAGATTGTGAACTCAAACTTTATACTTATAAGAACCAATGATTTAATCTTCCGTGTATAAGCTAAACTCTATACACTAAATCATCTACTATACTAACAGTGGACATAGACTAATTTATGATCTATTTAGAACTTTATTAAAATTGAATAAATAATTATTCCATAATAAATACTATATCTAAACCAAACCCATAGTTAATAGTATATATCCCTACAATCTCCCACTCAGACTTTTAACCATGACAATTATTAAAATAGACTATATCCAAATGCATGGTTAATAGTATATGCCCCAACAATCTTCCACTTAGACTCATAACCATGCATCTACAACTTTCTCATGTATTCTTTTACATGACTATTAAAAATCTTCACCAAATAAGATTTTGCTAAAGAGTCTTGCCAAGTTATTTCTGATGCAATATTTGTCCAATAGTGCTTTGTCGTAACCATCTAGTTTGGTATTAAACTCTTCAGGGATCCTGTTACTGAAATTATCCCAAGAGTGTACACCGAACTATGATTTTCTTTAGTATTCTCCCACTACGACGAAGTACTACTAATATTACCTTCATTACCTTATGGCATTGAAATATTAGTAACTTTTTACGATAATGTTCACTGTAACATCACTCCCACTCGATAAAGGGATATTATGTCTATTAACGTTCTCTCACTACTTAAATGCAATGGAACGTCAATTCCGACTTATGGGTTTTGATGTTCTTGAATATCTAGTTATTTCTTTGCCCAATTCTTGTAAAAAATAGTTTACTTCTAGGAACATGGTTTATTAAATAGTTCTTATCTAGAAAAATGCATTTGTTTTAATAATTGCCTTATTTTCTTTAGGACAATAAAATAAAACTCCATTCGTTTTTTTGGATATTCAATAAACATGCACCTATCCATTCTTAGTTCCAACTTATGTATCTGCTTTCCCTTTCAGCACATATGCGGGACAATCCTATATCTAAACATACCACAAACTAAGCTTACATTCAATCCACTGTTCTGTAGATGTCCTAGGTACTAACTTAGAAGAAACTATATTCAGAATGTAATTTGCAGTTTCCAGGAAATATTCCAAAAACAAATAAAGCAAATCTGAATAACACGTCATTAATCTATCCATGTCCAAAAGAGACTTATTTTTTCTTTCTACTGTCACACCCCTTTTTCCTACCCCCGGGAAGGTATAAAGGGAGTTTTTTCTAATTTAAGTGATAATCGAAACGAGATTATTAAAAATCAGTGTCACCACTTGGGATAATTTATGGTGTCCCAAGTCACCGATTATAAATCCCGAATCGAGGAAGGTTGACTCTATTTACGGTATGCGAACACAGAAATTCGGGTAAGGAATTCTATTAACCTAGGAGAAGGTGTTAGGCATTCCCGAGTTTCGTGGTTCTAGCACGATCGCTTTGATCATACTTGGCTTATTAAATTATCTAATTACTGGTTTTAGAACCTTTATGCATTTACCTTTTACCGCTTTTAACTAAGAAAATTATTTTAAAACGGGTCACGCGTACGTGTACCCATTTGTTTGGCACGTCAA